GCGGTTGTTCGCTCGGGACGCTGCGCTTGCACCTTAACGGAGCCTCGTGTCTTCCAGAGCCACGAAGAAGAGGACAGGAAGGTAAGGAGGAGAGAAAAGAACCGTGTGGCTGCCCAGAGGAGTCGGAAGAAGCAAACTCAGAAAGCGGATAAACTTCATGAGGTGAGGGGGTACTCTGTGGTTTGCAGGCTCGGGCTGGGTGCCAAGGACGGGACGTTGTGATTAAGGGAGCTTCTTGAGCAGGCATGGGGCTGGCGTCGCGCTAGGTGGCCTCGGGGAGGTGTGGGTGCGAAGCGGAGGCAGGAGCATCGCTGGCCAAGGAGCCTCTGTTGTGGGCGCTCGTGCTGGACAAGTCGCAGTGCCACCAGTGTCCGCAGAGGGATGTGGCCTTGCCCTCGCCTCGCCCTCCCTCCTGTGCCATCGGGAGTGTTCCCGCAGCCCCCCACTGAACTGGGCAGGAGGCTCCAGGGGAAAACCAGAGCCCTTTCTCCTGGGCTGGTGTTGAGCCTCGTGGGTTGGCGCTGTCAGTGTGCGAGGGCTTAACACCTCGCAGGGGAGCAGCAGTGGAGGAGGAAGGCACTGCGCCTTTCCTTGGCGGTGTCAGTTTAAATCAGCTCTAAAATGGTGGTGTGAGAAATACCCAGCTGAAGAGACTTCTTAGGAACTCCAAAACCCCGCACGCGAGAGCTCAGCTACCCGTGCACTGGTGACTCCTCACAGTAACAGTGGGTGTTTCACATACACACGCAACTATCTGTTTCTTCCAGAAACTCCTAACACTTCTTAGTGTCATGGTGCAGTGGAGGCTTCTTGTGTGCCCCGTGCAAAGTCTGGAGCACAGGAGTGGCTTTTCGCTGCCTCAGGAATGGCTGTCACACACGAGGGGGCCTTTTTGCAACCCCTGAGGTGAATGTTGGTGCTGCTGCTGCGACCATTGCTGTGCCGGTTGCACAGCTCTGGACATTGAGCGCAGCCTTCTCTCTCCCATGAGGTGGAAGGATCTGCCAACAGGAGGCAGAGTCTCAGGAGTTTTGGTTTTGCTTTTTCCCAAATCTCTTCTGAGTCAGCACCTGAGAAAGCCAGTTGCAGGGTACTTCTGGAAAGGGGTAACCCCAGGCTTTCGTGGAATTGGCACCAGCTTGCGTCTCATCCGACAACCTTTCTGCTGCACTCGCTGCGCTGTTACTAAGGAGCTCAATCATGTTGGTGTTAGTGGGCAGGCAGGTTTTCCCCGGGGCAGGGAGATTTTGTTGAATAATGTCCAGTTGTAGCACAGCAGGTTGGTATTCTCTTCCCTGAAAATAGTATGGATTAGCTGGGGAGTAACAATTACTGTGGGTGCTTGGGATTTGGTGCAAAAGAAGGTGATCAGAGCCAGAGTAAGGGATGATCGGCTTTGCTGAAGTTTGACTGCGCTTATGTTTAGGAAGATCATGCCTGTTTTATTCTGGGCTTGCGGAAGGTGGTGGGTGGTGAAAGAGCGTGAGGAGGGCAAAGGGACCTTTCCTGCTCGTGAGAGAGGAGGCTGCGCGGAAACTCCCGAGCTGCGTGACAGGCACAGCAGTGGCCGTAGCAGCAGCACCAGCACTTACTCCAGGGTAGCCCTAAGTGCCTCAGCTACAAAAAGACCCTCTTGCGTGCAACAGCATCCAGAGGCAGAGAAAGGCAACCCCGGTCCTCCAGCCTTTGCATGGATACAATGCAAATAACATTGCCTCCACCACGCTGAGATGCTGAGAAGAAGCGTTAGGAGTTTCTGGAAGATCCAGATAGTTGTGTGCGTATGTGAAACACCCACTGTTACTGTGAGGGGTCACCAGTGCATGGAGTAGCTGTGCTCTCGTGCGTAGGGGTTCTGGAGTTCCCAAGAAGCTTCTTCAGGTGGGTGTTGCTTCTTCACAACACTGATTTAGAGCGAATATAAACTGATGCCACCAAGGAAAGGCGCGGGGTCGTGCAGAAGAGAAGGGAAGCAGGAGTCTGAAGGAAACCTGAGGAGCTCTGCGTGAGCGGCTCTCCCTGTTTTCTGGTAAACAGGTCTCCTGAAGCATGTGTAGGCTTTGAAGTTTGCTCTGGAGCTTCTCAGGGAGGTGAGACTGAGTGGGTGAGTGCTGAGCCGAGGCCAGCAGCGAGGTGCAGACAACCTGCAAGTTTTCTGTGGGCTGCATCTGAACCTACAGTTCTTTTCTCTTTGGGACGAGCAGTCCTGGCAGCAGGGACGCTGGTGACTTGCAGTTATCACAGAAATGTGACATGTGTCCTAGCGGCTTCTTCATCGCCAGAGGCGCCTCTGCACAATAGCAGCCCCAGTGGTGGTTAGCGGAGGCCCTGGTCAGGATTCCTGGTGACCCAGCTGGGCTGTGAGCGAGCTGACCTGACGTTTACCTCCCCAGCTTGCTCTTGACACCCCCGGCCTTCAAGCAGGTGGCTACAAGCCATGGCAGGGTTGGAGGAGAGCGGCTGGGGCCCCCCAG